GTTCTAACGTCTACTTTTTTCACGATAATACTGCAGAAAAAAATAATATTTTTATGTTGAATTGAAAAATACATAATCAGTAGTTTCTTTCTTCAAATATTAAGTGTGTGTGTGTGTGTGTGAGACGTTGACAGATCTGTTTTAAGCTGCAGAATGCCATTTCATAAAATTTACATAAATATTTCGAACAAGTACTAATTATCTGAATTTTGTTATATATATACTGTACGTCACTCGAAGATTCGTCACTAGAGAAAAATTTTGTTGTATTCACAAAATCGGTTTAGTTTTTATAAATGTAGTTACACAAAATTTGATTTTAAAGCATAATATGAAGGATATTATGTTTTAAAGTATCTATAATTGTGTATATAATTTATAAATTTTAACAATTTTGTTGTTATAAATTTATAAATATATATGTATTTAAATTTTCAAATCTTGTACATTTATAAACACAAAACCGATATGCGACAAATAAGTCAAATTATACTCTAATGTCTTCATGTATTTCAAATCACTCAAGTCAAAGTCAAGACTGTCGTTATCGCTGGTCATGAGATGCTACTTGAAAATGTCGCTACCATCATTTCCATTGTCCAATGTAGATAAATCTATATAAACATTTGTGATATATATAGCAAATATTAGTTATTTGATTTTTTTGTTATATTTTGATTGCGTACACTACTGCAAGAATAAAGTTTTATGATAAATATTATTAATCAGTAGTAATTAATAAAATATAATTAAAACTTACGATCGTTTTCAACTTGCGTAGCTTGTCGACGGTGTAGCTTGGTCGTGTACTGTTCCTTGTACCAAATCTATTTGACGTATTTGTTTCCGTTTCTCTGGATGTACAGATGTCATGTGGTTTTCTAAATTTTCCGGGGCCCATTTAAAGTTTACTTCATCTTTACATAGAACACAACTTGCAACTTGTCCATTCTGTATCGCGTATTTAAGTGCCCAATGAGAATCGAATAGCAGCTCATGTGGATCATGATTTGTGATTACATGACTTGTGTGATTATGATTAAGTAGTTTGTTGTTACATATCATGCATCCTATGTTTGATTTTTTTAATGTTGTATCATGTAAATATATTTTATAATCCCACTGAGCTTTCGAAATATTCAGATTTGTTGCAAAATTTGTTTCTTTTGCATCTTCAAGATTTTTAACAACAGAATGATTATCTTGGATGTGTTTCTTAAATTGTTCATGCTTGATATATGGTATTTTGTATTTGCAAAGTTTACATTCTGCTCGAAAATTTACAACATTTATATAATATTTTTCCAACCACTTCCATTGTTCACTTATAAGTTGAATCCATAATAAGTTTTCTTTGGCTATTGTCATCAAAACTTCATTATGACAATCATGTATATGCCTTTTTAACTGAGTAGTTCTCGCCGAAAGGGTTAATGTTTTTTCACAAATCTTACATGTCACACTATCTGCGTTTTGTCTTGCGTATTTACAAGTCCAATGTGTTCTTGTACCTAGTTCTACACCGTCTGTAAAATGATGCTGTACATGAATTTTTGCTTCGTCACTTCGTATAAGTTGAAAACATTTCATACATTGTATTCCTGATAATAATGCATCCGTAAACCTTAAATGTTGCCAGTATATGTTGCGTGCCTCATGTTTAGGTCTCTCCTCTTCGGCAATTAATGGATGTTCTTTCTGCATATGAATCTCAATGCTTTCAGATTTGACATATGTAATTTTTTCCCCGCAAATTTTACATTGTACTAGAAAATTTATAGGCCTTTTATAACATTTATTCAACCAATAGTGGTTTTCAATTTGAAATTCCCAAGTATTTTTATATTGTAAATTTATTAAGTGGCTCTTTTCTTTATGATGTTCTAAGATGTGTTTTTTCATTCTCTTAAGATTTGTAACCAATTCATCTGTTTTTAGTTTATGTGTACAAAACTTACATTTAGCAGAATAATCTTCAGTTTGTTCCAAGTATTTCCAATACCAAGCTTCATGTTTATTTCGTCCTAAATTTTGTTCTAGTTTTGAATGATTTTTTAGGTGTTCCGATAAGTTTTCATTTTGTGAAAATTTCTTTCCGGCAATATCACATAAAATACATGCTTTCTTTTTGTCTATTGTTAGCCTAAAATATTTCCAGTCTTTGTTTTTCGCCATTCTCTCTTCATACATATACCAATCTGGATGCGTGTCACGTATGTGGTTCTTAAATTTAGCATTTTTAAGCTCCACGTATTTAAATCTTCCTTTGCTTGATTGGCAAGATAAATTTCGACACTGTACATGAAAATCGTCAGTTTCAATAAAACATTCCTCTACCCAGGGGTAGCAATTTTGAATTCGCTCTCCAGAATTCATTGTGATCTGATCTGTATGATAGAACGTATTTAACTGAACACGATGCGAGCATTACTTCGTTGAAAAGTGTCTAATAGATGAGATCGAAGAAAAAGACGTACCGTTTTTCTGTTTGTATGTAAATACTGACAGCCTTCAAACCTACCTAACAGTTATCAAGACAAGCGGTAAGATCCGATGCGAAATATGTATAGTAAACGATTTTAAGAGCGCGCTTGCGTGCGAGAGAGAGAGAG